TTAAGAGAAACCAGTCCTGGAAAACTTCAGCCCAATAGCTGAGAATTGTGCCAACTTCTGAATGAATGAAAACAGGGCCATAATGGAAACAGTGCTTGTGTTACCAGAGGCTAGTGGTGGTGGGGAGCTGACCCACAGCAGGCTCAAACAAGGTTTCCTCATGCTAAGGGTAGGTAGTAGCAAAACCCCACAACCCTGGGTACCCCTGAGTAGTGTTGCACTACTACATTATTATAGTGGTACAACATCGCTGCTATTGTTAAGGTTGCATCATGATATCGGTTTAAGGGTCAACCTTTCAAAGTCCTCTAAAATCAATATGCTCGTTTGGATTTATTTGAAATTTGGTGTGTCTCACAAAGGTGCAGAGTAGATAATGTTTATGATCCCCATTTGAGGTCATTTGATTGTGGGCTTCTACAGATATAAGCCCTGCAAAAAATAGCCACAACCAGGAACACTATTCCACTGTAATCTACTGTTGTCCTTTGCTCCAAGTATTGCATGTGAGTTGGGTTATAAGAGAGGTGAAGGAAGGGCAATAGAAGCATTTATATACCCAGAGTGAAGACTTCAGGAAGATGTGGTTCCTGCTTGCGCTGGGGAGGCCATGGCACAGTAGTCAGGGAGGGGCCAGGTAAGAGGGGGGAACACATTGCCTGGGTCAATGACATGGCTGGAGAAGTGTGCAGAAGCATGGCTGATGGGGCCAGAGGGGTGGGAGGACAGGCTGACTCAGTATGCTAATTGTAAGACATGATATGTACAACTGTCTAAATGACTACTAACTCCTACCAACTATATGTCTAGGAAATTCAATGCCAAAAAATCCAGTGTTGCTTGGTGGCATGTCATCCCCTTGCAGACCATTGAGTTGAGCAAAATTCAAACTTCGGAAAACCAGGAAATGCAGAGTTCATAGATTCTAAGGCCAGAAGGGACCCTTATGATTATCTAGTCTGACCTCAGTTAAGGTTGCCCTTGCACAGCTCGGCGTTCCTCAAGGGGACTACTTACCACTACACAACATTAACTCTGCATGAACATAGTTTTTTGCCATTGATACATTATTTTTGCTTTAGCAAAGTGTCTTGGGATGAAATGTGTTGTGTAAACATAAAATATTAGAGTGGTGCAATTGGGTAGAGTGTACTGTAACATCAGAATAATTGTTTTACTGGCATGTCTCCCAGGAAACTGATTTAATGGTAATTGGGACAGATTCTGCTAGTACATAGTAGTTTAATTATGACTAGGTGTTAAAGATTGCAGACAAAGCTCCATTAGAAGTCCTGTATTTGCTTGCTCTAACTTTAAGTAAGAAAATTGACTTGACCTGAAGAGTGGTAGTCTATTCTGAAGGCAAAGGAGAATCTTTTTAGCAAAGTAGGAAGAAAATCGGTTATGGTTGTCACTGGTGTCTAGTGTGGGTCACAACTGTGAGTGCCAATATTAGGTCAGACTGTCAAAACTTGGCAGACACTTCCAAAATGGTTCTATAGTTAGATTTAACCAAACCAGCAGCATATGCCTGCTCCTGGGTCAGGGCTGATCTTCACTACGGGGAGATCGACGCTGCTGCAATTGATGCAGCAGGGGTTGATTTAGTGGGTCTAGTGAAGACCCACTAAATTGACTGCAGTGTCCTCTGGTCAACCCCGGTACTCCAGCCCCCCAAGAAGAGTAAGGTAAGTCGACGGGAGAGCGTCTCTCATCGACGCAGCACAGTGAAGACACCGGGGTCAGTCGACCTAAGCTACATCAACTCCAGCTACGTTATTCACATAGCTGGAGTAACGTAACTTAGGTCGACATACCCTGTTAGTGAAGACAAATCCTCCCTTTATTAGCTCATCATAAAGCCACTGACAGTCCCCTTAGCTCTCAAGCCTCCACACAGACAAACTAGACTACTGTGATGAAAGGTTATTAAAACGAATAATCACCACACATCAAGTTCTGGCTCCAAAGAACTAGTCACTTACCACCAGGTCAAGACAACGCTGCCAGCCAATTACTTTAGTAAATTAACTAAAGTTTTATTAGCTAAGAAAAGAAAAGAGAGTTATTTCAGAGGTTTAAATCAGGTAAAATACATTACAGAGGGTTTAGTTTGTCAATCCAAAATTCTAGCAGGGATGTTATATCTGCTAGTTTCCTATAAGTCTCTGGTTTACCCAAATAACATAGGGGACCTCAGTCCTTTGTTCAAAATTTCCTTTGTCAGACTTCAGCAGTCCAGAGATGTGGTGGGAAAGAGGGGGTCAGGAGCCTTTGTCCTCGCCTTTTATATCTTGACCCCTCTTCTGGAAAAATCCTGGCTGTATCATGGAGTCAGATGGTGCCAATGCTTATGTGCTGGGTCAGACAGCTCCATTGTCTACCTGCTGGGCCAACAGTTCTTCTATGAATTGCAAATTTTGCTTCCACCTTCTGCGTGGTATGTGCTGCTTAAGGTGTTTTTAGAAATGACATGTAGAGGCTTTTGTTTATAGCTCCTTTATTATTCCTGAAGGGCTAACCTGTGGACGTTTCCTAGACTCACATGTTTAAGTTACAAACACATAGCCAAAATTTCATAATTACATACACAGTGTTGATACACACATTATAACAAAATACTTATACACAGCAAATTATAACTTTTCCAGTGATACCTCAGAAAGCATACTTTGTATAAAATTATCACAATTTTGTAAAAGTGGTGACCATATTAGTATTATAGTCACCTTCCCCTTTATACAGCATCACAATGTTCTTTTGAATTGCTGGTCATTTAAAAAAAAAACACTACCTATTTGAAATGTTACCTACAATTTTGTATTTCATTATGCCCATCTAGATTAGAAATGAGTTTTTAAAGGGACACAGCAATTTGAAAGCTAGTGAATTAAAAAAATAATTTCAGGTTTTACACTTGCCCAAGAGTATCCCCGTTATTTTTTGTGGTTTTACAATCACATTTTTTTCCTATTTAAAAAAAAAAAAAAAGACCTCCCATAAATGGGAAGCTCACCATCTAACTAGTCATGAAAACAATTATAAACAAAATGCCATCAAATCCTCAAAGTAAAACTGGGAGAATTTTTTTCTTATCTTAGTTATAGGAATCTTAGATGTTACTTGTAACAGTAGTAGATAATCACACTTCTATTTGAAATATTTTTTTTAAGTTGATGTCCTTTTAACATGTAAACTTCCTATGTTATGAATAAACTTTGTAGTAGTTCCATAGTTAAGATTGAAAGCAGGGTTACACTTGCACACCCTTAACTTTACAAAAAGTATTTTCACATAACATTGTTTAATTATTTTCAAAGTACACAGGAATTTTTCTGGTAAGTTTGGAGGTAATTGATCGAACCCTACCAGCTTAAGTTTCTGAGGGTACATCTATAGTGCAAAAGAAAAAAAAAATGTGGTAGCAAGTTACAGAGCCCAGGACTACAGATTTGGACTTGCGTTACAGCACTAAAAATAGTACTGTGGATGTTTCTGCTTGGGCTGGAACTCGGTCTCTGAAACTCAGCAATGGGGGTGGGTGTCAGAGCCCAGGCTCCAGCCTGAGTGGGAACATCTCTGTAGACCTGGGCTCTAAGATTTGCTGCCACTAGGAGTTTTTTGCAGTGTAGATGTACCCGAGAGAATGATCAGCCTGAGAGCCGGGACAGAGGAAAATGAACTTTCCAAAAATGTTAGTTGTCATTTAACCAAACTGTATATATTAACTCTTTTTAATCTTTCTATTAGAACACCACTGCCAATATTTTCCCATCAATAGGGCTAAACCTTTTATGTTCATTGGAATGAGAAGTCAATTTCTTTTGATACTTTGAACATTTTGAGGAGAAATGTCTGAAATTCCCTTCACTGTCATCCTGAGCTTCTGTATCAATATGATTAACATGCTAAAAGAAAAATTTAAGTTACAGATCCAGAGCAAAAATGTAGTCCCTTGCCTCTGTTGAAAAGTAGTCATTTCAGAATTCAATTTCAGCCAGTGCATTTGTTTTTACATGTAATTTGACTGGTTAAAATTATTCTAGATTTCAATATTTATTTGAGGTAAACAATAGGAAGTTTTAATGACTGATCACAATAACTGTTTCTGGACAATCATGAGCCAGGATATCTTTCTTTTATGTAACAATTATACTTACCTTGCTGGAGGAAATCATAGAATCATAGACATCTAGGGCTGGAAATATACCTCAAGACCTTATCTATTCGTGCTAGCCCCCTGCACTGAGCAGTACCAAGTATATCTAGGCCATCCCTGACAGGTGTTTGTTTAACTTGTTCTTAAAAACCTACAATGATGGGGATTCCACAACCTCCCTTGATAAACTATTCCAGTGCTTATTATCCATGTCTTTCTTAAAGTGTGGTGCCCAAAACTGGACTAATGCCAGTTACAGCAGAACATTTACCTCCCATGTCTTACATATGACAGTCCTATTATAGTTCCAGAACTATGTGTCTTTTTCTCAGTTGCATCACACTGTTGACTTGTCTTCAATTTGTGATCTACAGTGATCCTTTTCAGCAGTACTACTGCTTTTTTCCTATTTTGTATTTGTGCATTTGATTTTTTTCCTTCATAAGTGTAGTACCTAATTGTCTTTATTGAATTTTATCTTGGTGATTTCAGATCAACTAACCAATTTGTCAAGATCATTTTGAATTTTGATCCTGTCCTCCAAAGTGCTTGCAACTCCTCCCAGCTAGGTATCATCCGCAAATTTTATAAGTGTTCTCTCCACTCCCATTATTGAAGTCAGTGATGAAAATATTTAATAATACCACACCCAGGACAGATCCCTGCAGGTCTCCATCACATACATTCTTCCAGTTTGACAGCAAACACTGTAAAATGAAGAGTAGGAGGAAATGGGGAGTAGGTGAGGCATAACCAATATATGAAAAACAGTGACAGCCACAAGTAAAAGAAGCTGTGAAAAAGCAATGATGGTATAAATTATTAAATGTTTTCATTACAGAATAGTGGCATGGATCGAATTTTCTCTGGTATTCAACCAACTGGGAAGCTCCACCTTGGCAACTACTTTGGAGCCATCCAGAACTGGGTGAGGCTTCAGGAAGAGTACAACTCTGTGTTATACAGTATTGTAGATCTGCACGCTCTCACAGTACCACGGGAGCCAGCAGACTTCCGTCAGAGCATCTTGGATACCACTGCCACTCTCCTCGCCTGTGGTATCAATCCAGAGAAGTGCCTCCTTTTTCAGCAGTCACAGGTCAGTGTCCCAGTTATTTAAAACTTGATTCCCAGACATGGCTATCTGGTGTTCCCCATGCACTTTGCTGAGCACACATAGCAATGTGCAAGTCCTTTATTCTTTTGTACTGACTGTCCTAGAAATTCTTACTGGTGTTAGATTCCAAACTCCTGCCTTTACTAACTCTCTGCAAAGGTCAAAGATTTGTTCACAAAGTCCATCCTGGGATACATATATTTCCCAAACAGCCTAGGACTTTGTGGATCTTAAGTCAAATTTATTAAAAAACAGTGAGTCTTGGTAGCAATAGTGGAAGCTTGTAGTGTAGAAGGGCAGAGTCCACTCTTGCAACCACCAGTGGAGCTACAGAGGTGCTGAATAGAGGGTCTGAATTTTACCAGTTGTAGACAAGTCCTAGGTTTCATTATCCTCCTCCTTGAACTTGGTTCTTGTCGATGGTTTGTCTGGAGTTTCCTGAGCATCTGTCAAACAGAAGTGCTGCAGAAGACAAACCTTAGAGGATTCCTTAATTCCCTGCCCTTTTGAGTGAGATTCTCAAGTAGGATAGATTTCATATAACCTTCCTTCACTAGTACTACTATGACTACTAAGGCCTGCTCTACATTAGAAAATTCTACTGGCTTAACTAAATGGATTTTAAATCTGTCTAGGTAACCCAGTGAAGACTTCTAATGTAGATGCACTTAAACCAGTTCAACTTTTGACTAAACCTATTTATTTCTATTTGAGAAATTATCTCATGGTTTAATCTGCCTGAACCCTGGCTTAAGTGCAGTGGGGCTGGCACCAAGTTAACTAGATTGATTTAAATTGGTGATGCAACTTTTCTAATATAGATATGGATAAACTGTGGTCCTTTTGATCCTAAACATGCTAGCCTGCCTGTTTATAATATCTGGCATCCCTCACAAAGGTATTTATGCAGATAACCACCTCCCTAGAGAGACTATTGTCCATCTATTAAATGTCCATTGTGTGTTAGTCATTCTCTTGTTCAGAGATTCTCAACCTATTTCTTTCTGAGAACCCCCCTTTATCCCCCCCAAGAAGCTATAAAAACTCCATGGCCCACCTGTGCCACAATAACTTATTTTCTGCATGTAAAAGCCAGGGCCAGCGTCAGGGGATAGCAAGCAGGGCAGTTGCCTGGGGCCCCATGCCACAGGGGTCTCTGCGAAGCTACATTGCTAAGGCTTCAGCTTCAGCCCTGGGTGTCAGGGCTCAGGGCCCCAGGCTTCAGACCAATGCAGTGGGGCTGGCCCTGCTTGGTCGACCCCCTGAAACCTGCTCGCAGCCCTCCAGGACTCTGGTTGAGAACCACTGCTCTAGTTACCCTCTTTTGGTAAACCAGTTCAGAGGTTCCTTTTTTTCTTCTTTCTGGTGTGTTTATTTTTTATTAGTTAACTTTTTAACCCGCATTTACAGCATACCATCCTCTGGAAATTTGTCTACACACATTTTTTAACTTTCATTAATTGACTGTTAATTAGCTCAAGTTAGCTAACACATTTGTACATGCTAGTCTGGACAAGTCCACAGGCAGTTTTGTGGAATGTCATTAGTATGTACGTATATGTTTGCCAATTAAGTCAAGTTTAAAATTTCCTCCATTGTAGACCTATCCTGGGTGAATGACTGTTATCAGAAATAAGTTTGGGATGCTAAATAGCTTCAGATGTTTTCTGTCCCTGACCATAGGTGTTGACCAAGAGATATCTCATTGTCTTTTTTGAGGCAGGTATTATGTTTTGCCCATAATTCCTTTTTACCAGTATTTCTCCTTTATAGGAAATTTGAATTGTTGGCAGACCAGAAACCAGTCTGTCACAAGCCTTCATTTTGCCCAAGTGATTGTATGCATCATAGCTGAGTTCTTTTGGGAAGCCAGTGTAGCCTCTAATTAAATTGAATTGATAGTTCTGTGTTAAACCCCAGTGTCCCTAGTGAGTGATTCCAGTTCCTGTGTAACTACAGTTTTATAACTTATAATACAAACAAGATTTCTTAATTGTAACTGTATTTCATAGAACCATAGAATATCAGGGTTGGAAGGGACCTCAGGAGGTCATCTAGTCCAACTCCCTGCTTAAAGCAGGACCAGTCCCTAACTAAACCATCCCAGCCAGGGCTTTGTCAAGCCTGACCTTAAAAACCTCTAAGGAAGGAGATTCCACCACCTCTCTCGGTACCAATTCCAGTGCTTCACTTTTTCCTAGTGAAAAAGTTTTTCCTAATATTTAACCTAAACCTCCCCCACTGCAACTTGAGACCGTTACTCCTTGTTCTGTCATCTGGTACCACTGAGAACAGTCCAGATCCATCCTCTTTGGAACCCCCTTTCAGGTAATTGAAAGCAGCTATCAAATCCCCCCTCA